TGCAAATAGAAAGAGATCCAAACTTTGTCAAGAAGGTTCTCTTTACCGATGAAGCGGGTTTTACAAGAAGAGGTATTACTAATACCCATAATGAACATGTTTATGCCGTTGAAAATCCGCATGCAATAAAGGTAAACCATTTTTAGCACGAATTCAAAATTAATGTGTGGGCTGGAATAATTGGTAATTTCATTGTTGGTCCTGTCATACTTCCACGAAGATTAACTGAAGAAAATTATTTGGATTTTCTACAAAATACGTTGCCAGAATTGTTAGAAGATTTACCTCTCCAACTTCGGAGAGATATGTGGTTTATGCAAGATGGAGCTCCACCACATTTTTCTTTAAACGTTAGAAACCACTTGAATGAACAATATCCATACAAATGGATAGGCAAAGGTAATGACGCACCTGTAAACTGGCCACCACGTTCCCCAGACCTAACACCGATGGATTACTTTTTATAAGGACATCTGAAATCCACAGTTTACAAGGAACCTGTAGAAAATGAGGAACAGCTCTGGCAACGTATTCAAGATGCAATAAACAATCTTAGAGGTGATGAAGAAGTTATGGAAAGGATACATTTTAATTTTCTTTGACGTATAAATCTTTGTATGCGTGAAAATGGTGAACATTTTAAACAATTTTTGTAAAATCTCTATTTTGATTATGTTGTAAAGAAATATTTTTGTGAAACCTATACATTCTAAATTATTAAAACAGAAATTTAGCGAAAACCATGAGAGTAATCGAGTCTTAACAAGAGTACCTTTTTTAAAGTAAATGAGTTGCGCAATCTAAATTTCATACTCAAACTCCTTTTCTTCCATTGGCGTAGAATTTTTAAAGGTGCAATTATTTAAAAAATCAAGTTCTACGCCTATGTATTATTATCGGACAAAATTTTAATACCATTTTTTTGCCACATAAAACTCTACCAATATACCAAATTTCAGCAAAAACGCATATGCCGTTTTAAATTTATATGGGAAAAACGATTTAAAAATTGTAACTTCAATGCCCTCTTTAGCCCAAACGAAGCAACTTTGTACTAAGGTAATTTTACTTAAATCGACTTATTTTGGTCTAAGGAATATGTGGTATGTTTTTGTAAAGACCTTTTACAGACACCCTGTATAATTTTTGCTTTTACATGATTTTTCCAAAATGGAAAAATTTTAATTTTTCTGCATTTTCGTTGCCAATGTGTGTATGTAGAAAAATATTTAGAGTTAGATGTATGTAGAAGATGTATGTATTAAATTAACCTCTAAATATTTACAGAGGTACTACATAGGTTGTAGAGAATAACCGAAAAATCCCTGTAATAACTAGATAGGAAAGTCATCTATTGGACACATCAGATTTTTTATTCTAGTATACACGTAAAGCAACTTTTCCGCGGTATAGCAAACTTTTATCTCATCACCGTACTACCAGCTTCTGTTGTATTGTGGCAACCAACCCATATCACCGTTTTTAGAAAAGAAAAATTTTACTATAAACACACGATTTAAAAAACCAAGAGTATGAACTACTATTCTTTGAGGTACTTGCGAGGGTATTTACCCTAATTTGAAATACTTAATAGGGTGATTACGATTTCACGCAAGAACGTAAAAATAAATTAAAATTGAACAAAAATGACTCCAATTTCAATTTATTACAACATGTACTCGAGATACTTAACATAACTGCTTTCTTCAGACTTCAGTAAACTATGGCCTTCAGTCGCTAATATATAAACGCTTGCAACAACAAACCGATGTGATAACCAGCCCCGTTCTCCCCTACGTCCAGAATTTCTTTTATCAAATTAATTCATACGATCTAGTGACAAAATTACTAAAATGCAAATTTCTTCAAAACCATGAGAGTAATCGAGTCTTATCAAGAGTATCTTTTTTAAAGTAAATGAGTTGCGCAATCTAAATTTCATACTCAAACTCCTTTTCTTCCATTGGCATAGAATTTTTAAAGGTGCAATTATTTAAAAAATCAAGTTCTACGCCTATGTATTATTATCGGACAAAATTTTAATACTTTTTTTTGCCACATATAACTCTACCAATATACCAAATTTCAGCAAAATCGCATATGCCGTTTTAAATTTATATGGGAAAAACGATTTAATATTGTAACTTCAAGGCCCTCTGGAGCCCAAATGAAGCAAGTTTGTACAAAGGTAATTTTAAGGAATATGTGGTATGTTTTTGTAAAGACCTTTTACAGACACTCTGTATATTATATTATATTAATGTACGCGAAAAAATCAATATCTTTTAAAAAAATAAAATATAACAATTTTGAATGCATTTTTTTATCACAGAAGTTGAAGAATTTTGTTATTTTAGAAACGTAATTTCATTTCATGTGTTAAAAGCACATTTTCGTTTCTCCAAGACAATTGGTAAAATTAATTTACTGTATAAGTCAATAAATTTTTCTTTTTTAGGAATGTGTTTTTTCTTTCCATTATATTTTGTTTCAATCTTTAAAAAATGCATTGCCTATTAATGTGACCCTAGTTAATAGAAAAAATCTATTATTCACAATATTTTAAAATTCTTACAATTTTAGAGAATCAGGACCTGGCAAGGTATCCACTCTAAGCAACGCCCAGTGAGACGTTTATCTCTTTGCGAAATAATACTTATAGCGCCTTTTTATAAAAAAACATACCTATTTTTTCATAATTTTAAAGTTTGTGATGCGCTACGTATATGTATCATAAAAGGTTTTACTGAGCTTCCTATGATACGTTACAAAAATACATTTGACGTAATAAATCTTATATTACAATGAAAGTAAATGTACATTTTAAAAACATTCATGATACGTTTTGTATATGTATCAAAAAGTATTTTACTAAACTGTCTATGATACTTTTCAGAAAAACATCTGAATATCTATATTCACGTTTCAATAAGGTCAGTCCAGCTTTTAGTGTTATGTATTAGAGAGGAGAGTGTTTATTGGGATATTAAGGTCGATTCTATACACCAAAATAATCATAAGTTCCACGATATATGGCTCTTACAGAAGATATATTTTCAAAATAAGTTTAAACAGTATAAACAAGTTATTTTACTCCATATAGCTTCATTGCAAAAATTGTACTAATCTGCAGACTTCAACAAAAAAAGGAAATCACGAAAAAAGTTTGCAATAAGAAAAGTAGCAAAAACACATTCGAAAATCCTTATTGAAATACCCATTGTTTTGTCATTTTTACTGACCAATATCCTGTTTGATCTCAATGAGTACATATTGAAGTAGAATTTAAAATTGTTGTTTGCTTTTTGTTATCAGCTCCCTGGTAACTCCGCAGCTACTTTTTCCATGCCACCTTGCCTTAAATTTCACAAAGGCATATTATTTTATTAGGTTTATCATCTCCAATGGATGCAAAAAGTAAATGGTTGGCTACCTTCTTGGCGAATGAATCAGCAAGACGGTTATATTTTAATGTAGAGTAAGCTTTGATCCATCCTAAGTCGACAACATTGTTGATGGATACTTCGTCCAAAGCTTTGTAACATTTTAGTACTAAGTCTGAGTAAACTCATGGTATGTCCAGAGTAAGTACCTAATAATAATACTGTCCCAAATTTACTCCCTTACGAGTGAATTTCAACCCACGAAGCCGACTGAGCGACATGTGTAGAGAAAGGGACAGCTATTATTATTAACCGTGGCGATCCGGGGTGACTTAAAGATGATTGATGGCGACATACAGGTAAGGAAAACCCGAATCCCCATCTACCATCATTGAAACGGTAACGCTTAGCGATTTTTATATTAACAAAAATTAAATTTCTGTTAATACGGCACCACTCAAATATAGAGAATTATCCAAAAAAAATAACATGGTCTTCTGTAGGATTGAAAGCCCTGTGCCTCTCTTTCACAAAATTGGCTCGCAAATAAATGCGAGCGCCGTAGACACCTAAGCTACCGTCCCATAGTACTTATCTGCTACTTGTTTAGATGAGCATATTTCTTCCAGTGATATTGTTTTCGGTAATTTCTTTTGCTGCTAGAAGATTCCCATATAGCATTTTTGGAAGGGACATGGTTTGTACAAAAGTAAGGAGAACCTTTTTTTTAGAAGCTCGGCAAAACGAGGAGGATTTCTGTCGTTTAGCTCGACGATCTTTTTTTTAGAAATTCACTAAAAGGATGAGGACTTTTTGTATACCAGAGCCCCTGTCAGCATCGTAGTCATTTTTTCACTTTTCAAAAAGGTGGCAACCCTAATTGAACGCCTCCCGTCAAAAGCGACATCTTGTCTCACGAGATCTTGCTTTAGGTTATATTCCAACTCTGCGGAGTCGCGTTATTGTCATCAGAGCAATCTCGTTGATATAAATATCAAGGAGAGTGAGACCAAAAATGACTTTCATGACTCTGGTTGGTGTTATATTCATGGTTCCTGTTATGTTGAGACATGCTGTTCTTTATATTTATTCTAGTTTGCTGATAATTGTCAATAGTTGTTTTTCTCGTATTTCATTAATTTTGAGGATTTTTAATTTTTAATGCTTGTTTCACATTTTTCACCAAATCTTTTTTATTTGGGCTTCCTTTTTCTTTGGTTATTTCTTGCATCCTCGTTAAATTATTTCGTTTATTTTTGTCTCTTTAAATATTATGAGAGAGACAGATAGTTGTTAATAAATTATCCGATATCATAAAGTATATTGCTTTAGAAATATTTTGTTATTTAGACCAATTTTATTGAAATAGGGTTCGCAGAACTCAATTTGGTTACAGTAAGACTTCCTATTAACTCAAATCATAAAACTGATCACATTTTATTATTTTTACGAAACTTAATATAATTTAGTAACAAAGCAGCAGGTCTGTTATGTTGCTCTACTGAGACTGGCTAAATGCAAACCAAAAATAAAATATTAAAGCTCAATAATAATATGTGTCTGTACTCCGAAATATAAAAGTATATTTTGGTAATATAAACTTAAAAGTATACTTACTCTAACAAATACGTATACACTAGCTATTATTTGTAAAAAATTATAAATAATTAGAATAGTTCTTAGATTAAATGGTTGTTTGTCTTTCATCCATGTAGGCCCAAATATAAGAACAAAATACATCCAAAAAGCTAATATGATACAAGTGGGAAATGGATCTTCCATCAAGAACCAGGAATTTGTTCTTTTATCTGAAAAAAATATGCACAACTTAGACTACAAACGATTTTTATTTTGAACAAAAAACATTTCTAATTGGATTTTAAATATTTATTTTGAAGCCCATATAGTTATAGGATGGAAGAGAGATTTACATTTTCAGTAAGATAAATAACTTTAGACCTACGTGCTGGTAAAATGAATCTTTTAGTCTCGCTTTGCTTGTATAGGAGTAAATAAACAATACACTATCAAAGTTTTCCTGTAATTGGCAACGTTGATGCCACAACCTTTCCTCTCTTACACATGTCAATACTATTTACTATTTCTTCTAACACAAGCAAACCAGAAACGAATTTTTAATCTTGACAACTACCGTATAGCTTCCTAATATCCAGACAGCACAAATAGGTCCATTGGACGTCTATTCGATATACATTTTTTGATGTCTGGACGTCCAATGAAGTATACAAATGGCACACTTTTGACCGTTCATAGGACGTATAATTCTGGATTATAATTGGACGTTTAATACTAGACATTCAAAAAACGTACATTTCTAGATTATATATTCCATTGAGACCACATCCCCACTTTTTTTACACAACCGCAACTCACCACGCACTATTTTATAATATTATTTAAACTTGTTTGATCGTTTTGGGTTAAGGATAATTAAGTACAGCTTTAGTCTTCAGTTCTGATGGAAATATTTGACCGTCCTCTATTCCGTGACCAAGAAATTCTACATTTCTTTTGACAAATTGGCACTTCTTTTTATTAATTTCCAGACCATAGTCTTGTGCGGTTTGTAGAACGATTGCTAATCTCTTTATTGCTTCTTGTCCATCATTTGCTGGTATAATTAGATCATCCATATAAGGCAATACTATTCTCTGCCATGATTATTCTTTCAAAATATAGTTAATGAATCTCTGAAAAACAGCTTAAGAATTACAGAGTCCAAATGGGACTTTAAGGATTTGGTAGTGACCATTATGTGTAACAAAAGCGGTATATTTTCGACTTGATTCTTCTACAGATACATGAAAAAACCCGTCGTAAAAATTCTAGCATCTTGTAGTCTATCAAGTTGGTCTTCTATAAGAGGCAGAGGGAATCTATCTTTGACTATATTCTTATTAATTCTTCTGTAGTCTATTCGCTGTGTGCAAGACTGGTAGCGCTCTCTGGTGACGGGATAGCGACAGTTCTCCTCATTCATTCCCGCATACTTGCTATACACCTCACACTCAACAGTTGAACTTGAAAATTCTTTTTCAACAATTAAGTGTTGCAACAAGTTTTGTGTTCGCTGTTAGTTGATAGACTAACAAAAATTGTTTCTGTCGCACAAAAAGTAAGTAAATGACATAAAAATATTTGGAGGTTATGCATACGAAGTATCTGCGTTTTGAATGTCATAAATCAATGTAATTTGTGTGTATTTTTAGATGCTACATTTTTGTCATGAGTGTCATCTTGTACACTGGATTTGAGAAAATATCTCATGACATAAACTTTCTGCCTGAAACGCCAAGAAAAGGTAAAGATTCGGTAGAAGCTGGGCATGTCATAAATGTCGAAGAGCACAGAGAGTCAGGTGTTGGCCTTTTTAAATCTATTACGTTATAAATAATTTATTTATCACTATTACTTGAGCATTCAAATACCGCTCCTACTTTCGATGTTTATGATATATATACGACAGAGGTTATGTTACTCACTTTTTTTTTTCACAGCTGCTATCCATTTCTTTCTTTGCTCCAATTTATGTGATGCGGTTGGAAACGTATAAAACTTACACGCACTATTTTTGCTAGTGTTTTTACACTTGACAACACTACAATAACGACGACTCATTTTAATAACCAACACGAGACCCACAACACGCTGCCGCGCTACTACGAAGATGTGGACAATCGCCGACTCCTGCCACCATAGGCGCTGCGATAGCTCAATCTATCCCCTCCAAGCCAAATGCACACAGCGAATACAAACACAAGCTGAACCATCTTTTTTCTTAGTTACAACCACTAGGCTTGAGTAGTCAGAACAACTTGGCTCTATTATTCCTTTGTCAAGCCATTGCTTAACTTGTTTATCTACAATGTCCCTTTTGGCAAAAGGTAAACGTCTTGGTGTACAATAAATTGGTTGTTCGTCCTTCATTATAATTTTCATCTCTACATTAGTCACTTTTATTTTATCTGGTTTATACATCATTATCATTTCTTTGATTTCTTCTTTAATGCATAATTTCAATGTCGTCGCTCTCGGTGTTCTCAGCTAATTTATTAATTTTTATTCAATTTGAGTCTATAATTAATTTGGTCTAATCCAAAAGTTCGCTTCCGATAATAATTTCAGACAGCATTACGTTATTAGGTACAACATAAACTTTTGTTTAAAAGCAATTGTCATCAATCAGCATATTACAATAAACAAATTCAAGTGTATTAACATTTGTTTTTCCAAAGTCATTCAATGATATGTTTGCATGTTTAAGTTCAGGTGAACCTATTTTTTTATAAACTTCAACTGTCATGAGGTTTACAGCACTTCCTGTATCAACCAATGCATACATTTCTACATTTTAATCTTTTTAAATTTTCTGTTTGAATCAGCAGCAACAATTCTATTAACAAGAGTCGGTTCCTTTGGAGATTCTCGTCTTTGCTCAGTTTTTGCTCGTTGGCATTCGTAAGATTTATGACCAAAATTGTAACATCTAAAGCATTTCATTCCAAGCCTTTTCTTGTGGAAATTTTCTGATTTGTGTCCTATTACATTACAGTTAAAACATCTAATAGTCGATTTAACACTTTGTTTATTCTCTTGTCTGGTAACGGTGTCTTTTCTTTCTTGTATATTTGATTGTTGACTTCCTCGGTTTTGAACTACAGTGCGATCAGCCCTCTTTGAAGTGTTAGCTTTCATGTCCGAATAGACCTTTAATTTTTCTTTAAATTCTCTATTTGTCTTAGCAGCATATAAAATAATTTTGTTTCGGTCGTCATCGTGGATACCATCGATAACATATTGTATGAGTGCCTCCGTCTCAATATCACCTCGATTTGATAATTCCTTCATTTTTAGAAAATATTCATGTACGTCTTCGTCGTTTCTTATTTTTCTTTCTGTAAAGAATTTACGTAGTTGAGCACTATTTACTTAAGACGAATTTTCAGCTTGAATTACTCTTTTTAATGTTTTCCAAGATTTTTTTCCTTTTTCACTTTGAATAAACAACTTAATGACTTTTTGGCAAAAATTAAAAGATGTAACTCACTCCATCTCATAAGTTCAGACATATCTTCTAGATCAGAAATCCATTTTTCTACCGCGTATGAACCAGAACCATCGAAAGTTTGTATCGAATCTTCTACGTCTTTAAAACTAATAGGAAATTGCGGAACATTATGCGTAGAATGCGCTGTTTCTGCGTCTTCTCTATCTGAAAAATAATTCGTCATCATGTTGGTTCTTATTTCCTTGTAGAAATTCTAAGTTTGTCAAACCATTACAAATATTACTTGTCAACGTCATAAACTATTTGTACGATGTTTGCAAAAGAAGCTAGATCACTAACGGAAAAATGTTTCTTAATTTCGTCTAACTTTGCGTCATATTCCTTAGTATTTCTATCAAAACCAAATCCGGAGAATTCTCGTTATCTTTTCCTATTTCCTCTATCACTCTCACTGCCAAAAATAAGTTTATGAAACTTTTTTATAACATTAACAGGTGCAGATCTAATATTACTGCAAATTCCAGCAATTATCTCCTTAAGTCAGTCATTTTAAAATAAAACGTCAAAATGAAAAAATAGCAGGAAAATAGGAGTCCTGTAAATGGATAAAAGATTCTGAACGAAAATAAGGGAATAAAAGTCCAACGCTACTAATAGATATCGCCAATAAATAACATGTACAAAAGGACATGAAGGACAAAATTAAATATTCGAAAATTTATGACGTCATAGATATATTTTCGTCTCTTCTCTATGCTCTTTCGATATTTCAGTTCAGAGTTAACAGATCTGTTTGAGATACGAAAAGTATATTAAGACACAAATATAAGTCCTTTAAATCTGTAAAAATCAAACACGAATATTCAAAAGTTTTTTTAAAAATCGAAATCCTTTGTCAGAATAAAAGTCACTAAATTAGACCGCAAAATCACGAAGAAAAAGTCTGCGTCTGAGTTCAAAGGCAAAAACAGAGTTAATTTAATTAACACAAAACACTTTAAACGTTCTTCAAAGACAAAGTTTTGTTAATATGTTTTTTTAAGTTCCGTCGTACTTTGGCCAAAAACTAATCAAAATCTGTTTAATTCCCTTAGTATTTGCAACGTCTTCTTTCGTCTTTTGATAGTGTTACGTCTTCTTTCGTCTTTGGTTAATAGTACCTATTATTTCTTCACTGGTTTTTAAATGAATCCCATATTACTTCCTGGGCGTCTTTTAATCCTCGTCTTTAGTCTATGGGCTTTTTTTACGCCTTTCTTCGTCGTCTTGCTCGCTTTTGTATTTGAAATTCCTTTGTCGTTCGTCTTTCGTCTTTAACGTTTGCTCATAGTAATAATTATAATAATATCGTCTCTATCATCGTCTCTATCATCGTCTCTATCATCGTCTCTATCATCGTCTCTATCAATCATCGTCTCTATCATCGTCTCTATCCCGGGTGAGCCCCCAATTTTGTAGGAAATTCACTGGTGTGGCTTGATAAAAAGTCTAAACGTCTTTTATAATAGCTTTTAATATGAAATTGCAAATACAAAAATAACGTCTTAATTACATTCCAAGAATAATCATATGTGACACTTTCATCCCCTGTCATCAACTTGAATAATCAGTAGCGTAGCTTGGATCCCACATTATTTTATTTATTATTTTCGCAACCCGCTATACACCATTTATATATTTTTTTTTATTAAAAATCACTTGACCAGAGCAGGTATCGAATTCACGACACGTCCATTGTCTTTCTGGGCATTCAAGCAACAGGCGACCTCGACCAAGGAGCCACTTGAAAAATTCTTACTAGATACGGTTATAATATAATAAGATTTCAAACTTCTGCTGATAGAATGAACTGTAATAGACTTAATTTGTCAATTTTTAATGACCACTTCTACTAAAAATATAAAAATGTATATATAGATGGGTATTATCTGGTAGGCTAAATAAATAATGACTTAAGATGGACGTCCACTGGACGTCAAAATAATACTAAACTTAAAATTAAGTCCAAAAACAGACGTCTTCTCGACATCGATATGCAGCTGTCAAATTAATGATTATAAACGGACGTTCACGGGATGTCCGAATACGGATATGGATGTTCTGGCCCTTAAATGGACCTATAATGGACATCCATTGGAATATGTGTGTTGTCTGGGTATCAATCATCCTTATGTTCGATTTGATTTTATGTATATAATAAAAAAGAAAAAATTACCTGCTAGCTCGGTAAAGAAGGTAGCATATATGATGGAAGTCTCCATGGTATCATTGTATGTGCCCATTTATACAACATTTAAATTTACCTGAAAAGTAAAAAAAATAATTTAAATTTACCTATAACGTAAAAAAAATATCTAATCAAAAAATAGAAATTTTCTGAACTCATATAATACATTCTGTATCTCTCATATACCAATTTTCCCACTTTCTTTCAGCAAACAATAACCTAACGTTGAATACTGCTTAAACAGTTAGGGAGCTACAGCATCTAAAACACGTTTCTTTCCTGATTTCATTTAAAAAGAGCTGCCAATTAATTACTGAAAATAACCCTATTTGAGTTTATTTTTCTAGCTTTGCACTTCAATCCACAAAAGGATCAGTTATTTTAAAAAACCTGTTTGGATTGATTTTCTATAAACAAAAACGAAAATGCTGATGTTTAGGCTCCAAAAATTTGGCAATATGTGCCTAAATTCTATAAATTTGGATGTGGGAGCATAAATAAATTTGCCCAAACCAGTAAGATTACTGAGATACAACTCTGGCACCGTGTCTATTGATTTATTTCCAACCAAATCGAATCTGTGATAATAGTACCAAAAAATAAAGCTTGTTTAAGTTCCTATGGATACCACCTACTCTGTATTAGCACCTTCAGTGGTTATAGTCCAAGTCCTACGTATTTTTTTCAGTAGGGGACTCTTTTGAAATAAATATATAAATAAATAATTTATTGGAAAAACGAATCAAAGACAAGATATGTTTTTAAAACTGGCAGGACAAGATAGTGAAAGGAGTGAAACTTTCTGAACTTTTTAATATGCTATATAGTTATTGACTTCCTGAATAATAATACTCGTAGTGTCCATTGGCACAGCTCAATCCTATGACGAGTTTTTGATTTACAGTGCGTATAAGTTACAAATTGGATTTTTTAAAGGCCATACTTCTTAACAAAGTACTTTGATTTTCCAAAAATAATTTATAACTGATATCAAAGATATGGCAAGTCTAACCTATGACTATTATTTGTTATGTGAGCCGCACAACAAATAATAAATCCAAACGTATCAAACCAAACTCACACAAACTTAAAAAATAGGCTGAGGTTAAGAATAAGAGACTGCCAAATGGTTAGTGACAACACATAAAATAACATGGGCAATGCACACCTTCTCAATCCATACACCTAAATCAGATATTGCCTGTGCGTCTGCAGGAGACGATAGAAACAGCAGTTGCCACTTATGTATGATCTACAGGAAAATTTTGGAATAAAGCATCAACATTTACCAAATACATGAAAACAATGCAGAGTGGTTTTTATACCTAAGCCAGGTCTAAAATAATATGTCTTGTCGAATGCGTACAAACCAAAAACTCTGACGTCGTTCTTATCGAAAGGATTGGAAAAACAGATTGATTGGCACCTCCAAAAAACTACTTTGATATAGAGAAACCATTTTAATCCAACCAACAAATCTTGTGAGTCTGCTCTGCACCAATTTTGTAATCAACATAGAGGGGGACTCGGAAATCAGAAATTATCTATTGTGCAACTGTTTATGGCCCTTGTCTTGACATGGAGACTATAAACAGGGTGCAACGTGTACATAACTCCTGTATCAGGTACATATAATGGCATAAGAAAATTTGAGCGTGTTTCACACAAATTAAAAAAATTAAAATGGCTTTCAATGACGGAAAGGTACAAACTATATTCTCTTTGTTTGTACCATACAACAATTTTGTACAAAAATCCATCATATTTATATGAGAGATTATCATTTAGAACAGATGTTCATAACATTAACGATTAACGAAAAAAGAAACAATTTGTTAACGACTCCCATGCATAGAACAACTCTCTTTGAAAGAAGTTTTCAATATATCTATTCCTATTATTATTTTCATGTTGCACGGACAGCAAGTATGCGCACAATCGTCTAAAGATACACCTATGACATAGTTATCCTTGTCCGAGGGAAACACCATGGCACATTTTTCAAAGGAGGGGGACAAAAATGAAGTGCGTTAAGAAATTCCTCTTGGTAAACTTTGACAAGCCTTAACGGATAAACTTTACTCAGAAAACAAGATTTGAGATTTTAGAAAGCCCGACCCTGTTTGAGAGATGGCTAAAGAGTATGAACCAATTAAAATATATGGAATCAATACCCAAAATGTTCCACTGGTAATAACAAGACTCATAATTACCTACTGAGCGGTTGTTTGGTGGCTAAAAGTAAATCAGAGAATAATCACTAAAGGCGGGTACAGATCTGAGCACGTACGCGTATGCGGCATGCCGAGGACGCATGAGCATATAGATATAGACGGGCTTTCGAGGGGCGGAAATTGCCTCGTTGTGTGCGCCGTACGGCCTCGCTCCGATCCATTTGTTGGAGGTACACCAAAGGAAGGCAATGCGCAGTACGTGCTCAGTCTGGACGGAGAATTTGTAACATACAACACAGTACAGATTATAGCGAGTTTTAAGGATTTATTTTGCATGGAGTGGAACCAGGAAACTGTATTGCTTCTCCTGGATTTAAATAATCAGCGTGATTTCTTAAGAGAGCAAAACGCCAGTTATATTACACCATAAAAAAAGAATATCCTTGGCATGAAATCGGCCATCGATTTCTTTCTCTCCTTTTTTCTTTAATGTGTCGGATAAAATAATAAAACATGCACTCAACTCCGCGACGTCATCCTCATCCTTCATTTTTGTTTTAATTTTACGAATGTTCTGGGTTATACGGTTGCGTGCTCATAAATTTACTGGATCAGTGACGAACAGCACCTCGTGCGTCATCCATAAGTGTATACAAAATGCGTCGCACGAGGCATTCGGTTCGGCCTCGGCTAGCCTCATACGCGTACGTGCTCAGATCTGTACCCGCCGTAATACCCTCTTAGGGGTACAGAGCCTGGCAAGTCGGCTACCTGGTCCTTTGATCTTTGATCCCATTATCGTAAAATGGTGACGATATCGACAAAATTGTAAGGCAACAAAGCGAATATTGGAAATGAGAACCTCAAAAGCAATATATAAATTTCTAAACTAGGATCTGTGCTCAAATTCTTTAAAAAATCTATAACGTTTTATTATTACAACCACTTTGGAAATAACTAATGGTCCGTTTTAAGACTAATACTTTTTTCGCGAAACCCTTGTATGAGAAACAAAAATAATTCATACACTAACTAACAAATCATTTACAACTTATCCTAAGGAGCTGAACTTTAGTTTTAAATAGCTCTATGATTGAATATAACAATTATTTCTCAATTTCACGACTACTCTGCAATTATGGTGAAGTAGAAACTCTTCTGTGATAAAGATAATTCGATAATTATAAGGTTTTTTCAATTGGAACCGTTTTAAAAAAGAAAGAATACTGTTGCGATATTCGCTAACATGATCCATAATTTGTTAATGTATTTTTGTTAAATTGATACAATATAGTCCAAGCGGTGGGTGGTTTCTATTCGCAAGAGGTCGGAAAGAAATGAAATTCAGTAGGATGGTAGACATGGGTCCCCTGATACTACACCTAAGTTTGCGACCTCGAGGGGTTGCCGCTCGAGGGTGAAGGGATGAAAACTCTGCGTTGCGACGCTTTTCGGCAAATAGCGCCGTTGTGGTAAGTACTATTGAAAAAAAGTTCAAATGAAATATGTACAAGACAAAATCGTGCACAATTTTGATTTTAACATTTTTTTGTCTGCGACCAATAGTTCCCGCTCTACGACGCGCCAAAGTACAGGATATTCATGACAACTAATGCATAAAAATAATAAATTTGTCAACAACAATAAGGAAATATTGACTCTAGATTCTGATAATTACAAAATCTTTATATCGGAATATGTAGGGACGCGCTTCAAAACATCATAACATTTATTATATACGACCAAATGTATCAAATCCGGCATCTACAGACTCCAAAATCATTACTCTTTTGGAAAAAAAAAATATTACATAATATTTTCATAGCGTTCTTCGTCTTAATCTCCGCTGAAATTTTGATTTTGTTGAACATTGCAAATTAACCCCCTACTTTGGCGCGTCGTAGAGCGGGAACTATTAGTTGCAGACAAAAAAATGTTAAAGTAAAAATTGGGCACGATTTTGTCCTGTACATATTTCATTTTAACTTTTTTTCGATAGCCCTTACCACAATGGCGCTATTTCCCGAAATGCGTCGCGAAGCAGAGTTTTCATCCCTCCACCCCTCGAGCGGCAACCACCCGAGGTCGCAAACTTAGGTGTAGTATCAGGGGACCCCTGTCTACCATCCCACCAGAGACAATCCAGCGAGACGTGTAACTCAATGTATTTTTTTTGTTCGGTAAAACTTATTTGGGCGATTGTAACCACAACCAGTCTATGATGGCGCCACTAGTAAATAGCGGGAAAATTAAAAATGCTTTAGGGCGGGAAATTCAAACATGGTTCAGAAATCGTTTTTGTATACAACAAATTTACAAGAGAAACAAAAACTGTTTCACTGTTTATTAAAAAATATAAAAGCTTCCAATATCATCAAATTTTTTATCATATAAATAATCATTTTAATAAAGGAAGTTTTAATCAGTTTAATATAAGCAGTGAACATAGTTTTTATTACTCTTGTAAATTTCGCTAAAAAAACTTGAAAATTCTATTGATTATTAAATATTTAAACTTGGAAAAATAATACACCAAACTCTTTTTCTATAAATTATATTTTTTTAAGGTACAGAAAAACAAACTACAATTGCTATGTTTAGAAAGTACCTCTTATCATTTTGTGACAAATTACAAAGAAAGTAACAGTTGTTATATATTCATAATATATTTAAAAACTAATGTAACAAATATTTTATAAAGCATAGAGTATATCGATACCTTTTTGCCAGACTATCATAAGTGCCATTTGAACAAATGTCGCTTATGTTAGTCTGGCAAAAAGGTATCGATATGTTATGACTGTTTATTTTAATAGAAACCATGGAAATGAAACAAACACACCTACACTCAACACAAATGTATAAGGCCTGAGTCGAGTTCCCATCCTGTAAACTGGATCGAAACCTGCTAGACCCATTCCGTACACCCCCTGCTAACTCTTCTTAGGGTAATCAAGATCAATAGATTTATATGTCATGCCTTCTAAAATGGAATGAAGGATGACATACTATCATTTA